CTATCAGATATCCTTAGGTCGCTGGTTCGAATCCGGCAGGTCGGATTGATTCTTTTGCCATATTTTTTTAATTTATAATTATTTTAATCTTGAGAAGAGGGGTTTGCCATATAATATACTGCCATTCTGACAAGAGGTGCATTAAAAGAACTAATCACCACTGTTTTTGGCAATAGCAACTTATAAAAAATACATTCTTGTGTCAGTTGTGTAAGATTCCCTGCAATATCCAATTTCTTAATCCAGGCAGAGGCTTACAATTTCAGTGAGAAATACAGATCCAAAACAACTAGTTCTCCATACTAATGTAATAGAAAAACAAGCTCCCAACCGTCACAAATGTCTTGAAATACCAATCATTTGGAAAATTTCAAGAGTATATACTACACATAATATTTGAGATAGAGAAAGAGGGCACCAGGGTGGCGGAACGGAAGGAAAGAGTTTATATAGAAAGACAGCAAGAACTTTAAACCGATACTTAGGCGTGAAAACGCAGAAAGAATGCCTGCTTGTTAAAAGAATGCAGAAGAAATGCCTAGAGAACAAGTGGTGCAAAAGGAACTAGAAGGAAGCAATGCACGTAGATCATTACAATTTGGGCTTATTTGGGTAAAAATAGCACGGTCTAGCCAGTTTTCGGACTGGTCATTCAAAAATAGCCAGCGTTTACAAAGTCAATGAAAAATAGCCACTATTTTGCTGCAACAGAGACCGGTCCAGCATAATATACTGGAGTTCGGTGCACCTGTGTATGAACTTCCAGCATATTATGCTAGAACTCCAACACACAGAAAGTTCCAGCATAATATACTGGAGATTCGAGCACTTGTGTATGAACTTCCAGCATATTATACTGGACCGGTATACTTTGCTGGAACTCCAGTATATTATGCTGGAGTTCTAGTGTACTTATGCTGGAACTCCATCATATTAAGCTGGAGTTCCAGCATACTTATCCTGGAACTCCAGTATAATATGCTGGAGTTCAAGTATACTTATGCTGGAACTCCAGCATAATATACTGGCGTATTTTCCGGGTTTTGAACAGTATTTTCCCTCAGATCTATCTTTACATGAAAAGTGGCTAAATTCCGATTACTTTTGAAACTGTGCTATTTTTGAACGACCACTTGTAAATCTGGCTATTTTTGAATTTCTCCCGTTATTTGGAGCAGAACTGGTAGAAGAAATAACGCCTTCGGGTCAAAAGGTATATAAGTCATCAAACATCTTATAAACAGCTTCAAGAGTTTTTTCCTCAACTTCTTATATTTGAAATTGTAGATGGAAGACGAAATTCATTATTGGAACTCACTAAGTAAGATCACTTTACAATGTTATCAAGATTCCAAGGTACATGCAAGATCAAGCAAAAAAGGGCAGCCCGATGCACTAAGCTCCGGCTATGCGTGGGGTCGGGAGAAGGGCCCGACCAAAGGGTCTATTATATGCAGCCTTACCCTGCATTTCTGCAAAAGGCTGTTTCCACGGCTCGAACCCGTGACATTCTGGTCAAATGGCAACAACTTTACCAGTTACGCCAAGGCTCCCCTTCATGCAAGATCAAACAACAAGAAAACAATTTTCAAGGCATTAGCATGAACTCCCAATTTTGTTTTATTTTTTTGATAAGGAAAAAAACGCTCATGCTCAATAGGCATTAGCATGAGCTCCCCGGCTTTAAAAGATCATTGCATAACTTCATACAACAATATTCAGCAGTAGCTTCATTCTTGGAACAAGACAAGGTAGACATTTTAATGTTTTCAAAACCACTGGAAAGAATCAATAGCAACCGACCTTAGCTCAGTTGGTAGAGCGGAGGACTGTAGTTGGGGTGTAAAACCTATCAGATATCCTTAGGTCGCTGGTTCGAATCCGGCAGGTCGGATTGATTCTTTTGCCATCTTCTTTCTCTTTTTTCTTATAATTATTTTAATCTGAAGAGGGTTTTTATATAATATACTCTCACTCTGACAAGAGGTACATGAAAAGTATTTATTATTATCTTTGGCAATAGCAACTTTTAAAAATATATCTTGTGTCAGTAGTTTGAGATTCCCTGCATTCTCCAATTTCTTAATCCAGGCAGAGGCTTAAATTTTCAGTGAGAAACCCAGACCCACAACAACTAACTTCTTTATCAATGTAAGAAAACAACAAGCATGCAACTCTCATAAGAGCAAATAACTAGAAAATGCCAAGGATATACACTGCATAACCTTTGAGAAAGAGAAAAGGGGCACCAGGGTGGTGGAGGGGAAGGAAAGAATTCATATGGACAAACAGACAGCAATGACTTTAAACCGATACTTGGGCATAAAATGAAGAAGGAGCCTAGGGAACAAGTAGTGGTGCAAAAGGAACATCATAAGAGCAAATAACTAGAAAATGCCAATGCACAGAGATCATGACGATTTGGGCTTCTTTGGAGCCCCAACTGGTAGAAGAATAATGTACACATCAGGGGAAAAGGTGGACAAAATCAAACATCTTATAAACAACTTTATAAGTCTATTTCTCAACTTCATATATTTGAAACTGGAGATGGAAGAGAAAATTAATTCTTGGAACTCACTAAGTAAGATCACCTTACAATGTTATCAAGATTCCAAGGTACAGTCAAGATCAAACAGGAACCTAGTGAAGTGAAAACTGATTCTTGGAACACAACAACATAGACATTCTTAATGTTTTCAAAACCACAGCATTGGAAAGAATCAATAGCAACCGACCTTAGCTCAGTTGGTAGAGCGGAGGACTGTAGTGGGTGTAAAACCTATCAGATATCCTTAGGTCGCTGGTTCGAATCCGGCAGGTCGGATTGATTCTTTTTCCATGTTCTTTCTCCTTTTTTATAAGTATTTTAATCTAGAGAAGAGGGGTTTTCCTTTTAATACACTTCCACTCTGACTAGAGGTGCATGGAAAGTATTTACTACCATTATCTTAGGCAATAGCAACTTTTAAAATTATATTCTTGTGTCAGTAGTTTGAGATTCCCTGCAAATTCTTGTTTCTTAATCCAGGGAGAGGTTAAAATTTCAGTGAGAAACCCAGACCCACAACAACTAGCTTCTTTATGAATGCAAGAAACCAAGCACTTAACACAAATGTCTTGAAATACCAATCATTTATCAAGATTTCAAGAATATATACTACATATGGTATTTGATAAAGAAAGGGAGAACCAGGACGGTGGAGGGAAGGAAAGAGTTCAGATAGACAAACAGACAACAAGAACTTGAAAACTGATACTTATGCGTGAAAACGCAGAAGGAAAGCCTAGAGAACAAGTAGTGGTGCGAAGGAACAACATAAGAGCAAATAATTAGAAGGATGCAATGCACATAGATCATTACAATTTGGATTTCTTTGGAGCCAGACCAGAATTGGTACAGGAAACAATGTACACTTCTGGCCAAAAGGTAAATAAGTCACCAAAAATCTTATAAACAACTTCATAAAATTTTTATCGTCAACATCATATACTTGAAGTTGAAGACATTATTCATTATTGGAAATCACTAAGTAAGATTACCTTACAATGTTATCATGATTCGAAGGGAGAGGCAAGATCAAACAATAACCAAACTATTCTCAAGGCATTAGCATAAGCTCCCCAATAAACCCAAATTTCTTTTCATGTATCGAAAACCAACAATTCATGATTCTCATACAGCAATATTGAAGACAACAACCATCCAACAGTCACAAATATCCTCAAAACATAGATTTCCTGATTTTTCATAATGCAATATAGGAAAAGAACCCCTATCCAACTGTCACAAATATTTCCCAATGCAAATTGATCAAACTCTTAACACTGCATTGTCTGTGCATATGAAAGAAGGAAAGGGAAAAGAAGAGTTAATAGCAGAGAGATGGACATAAAATCTTGAACTGGCTGAGGGAATGTATTGAGAAAAAGTAATGATGCAAAATAACACCATGAGGTCAAAAAGTATGATTACCAGAATTACTTGGAATAACTAATGAACATTCTTCAGGCCACAAGCCAAAGCTCACCAAAGCATATATAAACAATCCAGAAGTTTATCCATCAAGTTCATATTTGTAAAATGGATAGAGAATAAACATTATTGGAATTTAATAAGATAGATCACCTTATAATATTAAACTAGGCAGGGGTTTATACAACCGACCTTAGCTCAGTTGGTAGAGCGGAGGACTGTAGTTGGGGGTGTAAACCTTTCAGATATCCTTAGGTCACTGGTCCGGTAGGTCGGATTAAATTATTTTCAATAATATTCTTTTAGCAACTTGCTGGAGGAAGAGGGGTCATAAATCACACCCCAATGTGACAAGAGGTACACAGAAACTATTTTTTAACAGTAGGCATCAGACTTACTTATAATCCTCAATTCTTCTATCTTGGGAGAAACTCTTAAAAGATTAAAACTCCAAAACCTTCAAGAATCCTACTTTCCCAACAACTACGCCTCAATCCCAAACAAGTTGGGGTCGACAATATGAATCCTCACTTCTCCATTTAAGCTCAACTCATGTCATAATCGTATCAAATAAAATAGAAGTGAAAAATAAGTTTTATATATAATAGTAACAATAATAATAATAATATTAGAAGTTCTCTAGCAAGTCTAGAAACTATTACCAACTAGTCGATATTTTCTTCCAGTGTGTCCTATATTTAGCCAAGTCGGAATTGATTCCAATGATCTCATTAGTTCTAATAAACCAAGATTCAATCTTTATACCTAATACATGAACTGCACAAACACAGATTAGCTAATCATGTAAATTTATAAATTCCAACATTATCAACAACAACAACAAACCCAGTAATTTCCCACAAGTAGGGTCTAGGGAGGGTTAGATGTACGCAGCCTTACCCCTACCACGGAAGGGCAGAGAAGCTGTTTCAAATAGACGCTCGGCTGGTATAAATTCCAACATCACAATTAACAAAATCAGTGAGAAAGAAAAGGATATAAAAGTGAGAAATCAAAGACTTACATCAATAAAATCATTGAGGAAACAAGAAGGAACCTTCTGAGCAGGCTTATAAAAGGATAATTTCATAAGCTGCCTCAACTTCTCAGGAGTTTGTGGCAACAAAATTGAAACAGCCTCCTCTACACTTTTCACTTGAAGCATCCCATTTTCCATATCCTTTTCCTCAAGACAAACACCAGAACACCCTAAAACAACTCTCTCCACTGCCTCAGGAAACTGAACAGCCATACTATACCCTACAAAACCACCATAACTCAACCCCACAACTGTCATTTTCTTAACCCCATAAACTTCCATTATCCTCATAACACACTGTGCTTGAAAAAGTTCACTTCTTTCAGGTCTAGTAGTATAAGATTCACCAAAAAATAACAAGTCAGGAACATAAAGATTGAATCTTGATGATAAAGGTGAGATGAATTCATTCCATTGCCACATTGCATTAGCTCCAATTCCATGAATAAGGACTAAAGTGGGCTTTTTTTCTTTGTGGTTTTTAGGAATCCAACAATGCATAATAGTACCATCAGTTAAATCTGTAGTGGAAGATTTTAGGCCTGAGTTTGAAAAAGAGTATTTAAAGCACCAGTTTCTTGATGCAGTAAAGCTGCAACACTTGGCCATATCCTAGTTGGAAATTTAATACAACAATCTTTGATTTGAGAAAAACTGTGAGCACTAAAAAGACAAAAAGACAGTGGCAATCTGAGAACTTTTTGGGTTCAGATTCTTTTTTTTTTTTCTGGACAAAGCAAGGAATTTAGTGGGAAAAAAGGTGTTGTACAGGGAATGTAGGATTCTGATAATTGTTCCCTGTCACTTGCCAGATTGTTTGCTTTTGCTTTATAAATGTATATTAATACACGTAATTATTGTTTTATATTATATTCCACATAAAATAACATAATGAGGCTAACCAAATATAGTATGAAATTATGTGGTGATTATTCTTTTTATTGTACATTCCTAGTGTCACAAACTCACAATAGAAGGAAATAATGTACCACCAAAAGATGTGGTGAAGTGGATGAGACTACTCTTTCTTTAACTAGAGGTTTCGGGTTCGAGCCTGAGTATGGAAAAATCCTTAGTAGGGTGCATTTCCCCTGAATGGGGCCTTATGTGGCGTAAATCCGAATATAATCGGGCTCTAATGCAGGTACAAGACATTGGGTGAAAAACCAAAAAAAAAGGAAATAATGAAGCATAATTAAAAGATCAAATAATGAGTATACGGAATAATGAAGTTTTTAAATGATTAAAAAGGCTTCAAAAAGATAATTATTTAATGTAAAAATAGATGATGAAGATTATACTAAATTACTAGCTATTGTATTTCAAAGGATCTTTACTACTACTACAACAACAATAACCCGGTATAATGCTAGAAGTAAGGGGTTTGGGGAGGATAGTGTGTACGTAGACCTTACCCCTATCCCGATGAAGTAGAAATGTTGTTTCCGATAAACCCTCGGCTCAAGAAAACGAAAAAAAATGGGATCTTTACTGAACCTAATTAAAAAGTATATAAAATATGTATATTTTCTGAATATATACATATATATATATATATATATATATATATATATATATATATATACAAAAATATATATATTTTATCAACTGTTATTTTTTGAAGCAGCTAAAATATACATTTCTCAAATTTATATACTACCAATTAAACACTTGATTTCTATACCTATTAAACACCTACTATTAGCCAACCAGAAAAAATAATGGGTTGGGACCCGCTTTTATTTTTTTCATTTTTTTAAATGATGAGTTGTAGGCTAGTTATAGTATCGAAAAACAGTTTGAATAATTCCATGTGTCTTCATTGAAAATGATATTCTACCTAAATATTGTAGAAAAAATGAACAAAAATAATTTTTTTATATGGCTAGGAATAGAACAACGCAGAGTGAAGGTTGAGCTACTATACTTCAATCATTGACCAATGACTATAGTAGCTTTTGAATCTAACTCGATTATCTTTTTAAGGTTGATAGACTTGTAAATAAACGAAAAATGAATGATTAAAGAACTAAGTGAAATCAGCTAATAATGTGGCGAGACGGATACAATTCTTCTGTCTTTAATTAGAGGTTTCGAGTTGAGCTCTAGAAATATTAATAAAAAAAATAATTGGAAGAGTTTCCTCCTTAATAAAATTTACGTGGCACAATCTAAATTAGTCAATTAAAAAAAAGTGTAAAATCACTAGAAATGAATAATCAATCACACTTCTTCAACTAGATTGCTTCCTCTAGTTATAAAATTTCTGTACGTCTCTTGAAAAACATATGATAGCTTTAATTATAAGAGAATTTGTCTAGAAATGCCCTTTAACTTGGATATCAATTTAATTAGCATTCTACTAATTTGAGCCGTTAGGATAAATTTGGAAAATGAAAAAGTATAGTAATAATGTTGCTAATGTTTCTAATACGTCAAACATTTTGGACCAATTTAATTTATCAGTAGAGCCGTTATGCTTATACTAAACTTGTTAAGAAAATGAGATATAATCAAGATATATCTTTTTGATCAGAGGTTAAATCAATCATCACTTGAAGAATTAAGCAAAAAAATATTAGTATATGAGAAAATCAAACTTCTATCCAAGAGAATTTGTCACGACCCTAAATCCAGACCTGGTCGTGATGGTGCCTCTCGTGAAGACAAGGCCAGCTGACATATTTCCAATCCAGTTTTTAAGCAATTAAACATTAAGCTTTAAGCAATTAAACAATAAGCATACGTCTAAAACATGATATAATCTCAGAAATAGCGATGATAATACAAAACAAATTCGCGGAATACAACCCAACACAGCCCAAACCGGGGTGTCACTAGTCATGAGCATCTACTAAGGTCTAAATACAACTGACAAGTCTGGAATGTACTAAGTACAGACTAATAAAATAAAGAGGGAGAAAAGCAGTGCTGCGAACGCCGACAGATACCTTGCTAAACTCCGATAACTCTGCCTCCGATCAGCCAAAAGCCGCTACCGGGTATAGAATACCTGAATTTGCACACAAGGTGCAGGGAGTAAAGTGAGTACTCCAACTAAGTGAGTAATAATCATAAATAAAGACTGAGTGATAAGAAATCACGAAAAGTGCATCAACATGCTGTATAGAAGTGGTACAAAGCCAGTAAGAAAGCAATGAAGCTGTAAAATCCCTTAAAACATCTTAGCTCAGTTTAAACTTCTTTGAAAATGACTTTTTCAACAGTTACGCAAATGAATGTAGAACAACTAGTGCAGATAAGCACAGAAATCCACCCCTCGGACACAAATACACAATTAAACAGGTAAATGACAGGCAAAAGAAAGATAAGCACATAAGGTTCGCCCCTCGGGCAATATCTCAGAACAGTACCAGCCCCTCGGGCAATCACATAGAACCATACCAGCCCCTCGGGCTATATCTCACATCACAATGGGTACCCGCGCTCACTGGGGGTCTGCAGACTCCTGGAGGGGCCTCTTTCGGCCCAAGCGCAATATCAAGCCATCTCGTGACATCATAAACAGGTCCTCGACCTCATATCAATATCAAGCCACCTCGTGGCGTACAAATCTTAGGCCCTCGGCCTCATAATCAAAATCAGTGTATCACTGCTGCGGCGTGCAGCCCGACCCAAAATATATCCTCATAACACAGGCCCTCGGCCTTACTCATTCAAAAATCACATAAGCCTCTTGGGCAATAGTAAAACAGTATTTCTCAGCCCAAAACATCATTTAAATATCCTTTGAGTATTAAAACAGAGTAAACATGGCTGAATTTTGAAGACAGTGGAAATAACTTGACTGAGTTCAAGTATAAAGTCAAAACAGTGAGGAAACATCAACAACAATCCCCAAAGGGTTCAAATAATTGGCACGGAGCTCAAATATGGCATTCATCCCAAATAATGATAAATAGATTTCAATCAAATATGCGGTAAAATCATCAATCGGGACGGACCAAGTCATAATCCCCAATAGTGCACGACCTCACGCTCAACATTAAGCGTGTGACTCACCTCAATATAGCACTATGATGTGCAATCCGGGGTTTCAAACCCTCAGAACATCATTTACAACCATTACTCACCTCGAACCGGCTAAATCTCTAGCTCGCGACGCCTTTTCCCCTCGAATTGGCCTTGACATGCGTCGAATCTATCCAAAATCAGAATGGGGACGTCAAAATATGCCAAGGAAACAAAGCCCGAGCTAAAACAATTAATTACCAAAACCCGAGCCCCGGGACCACTTCTCGAAACTCAAAAATTTTCACATTAATAGATTCCTCGTCTCCCCACGAGTTCATACATATCAAAAATACTAAAATCGGAGTCCAAATGACCCCTCAAATCCCCATTTAAAGGCCTCTTAAACTCAAGCCCTAATCCTCCATTTTTAGCCCTTTAATCCTTTTAATTACAGCCTTAATTCATGAAATACTACCATAGAAATGTGTTTTTGGTCCAAAAATCCTTACCTTAACGAAGTCTCTTGATTTCTCTCTTCAGAATCGCCCAAAAAGCTCCAAGGTCGAAGTCCAAAATGGTGAAATAACCCAAACTCGCGAAATGAAATAACATATATGCTCTGCCCAAGCCTTTCCGCACCTGCGATACCATAAGCACACCTGCGCTTCCGCTTCTGCAGAAAAACACTCGCTTCTCCGGATTCACTTACTCCTTCAGATTCCGCATCTGCAACCCAGGTACCGCACCTGCGGTTCCGCATATGCGGTCAACGTCTCCGCTTCTGCGGCCAGCACTGCTTTTGCGGTCTCCTTTACGCACCAGCAGCGTCGCACCTGCGGTCACCAATCCGCAGGTGCGGAAACAACAGAGGCAGCAAATTTTTCTGCTGCAAAACTCCAAGTCCGACTTCCCGATAACCATCCGAAACCATTTCAGGCCCCCGAGACCTCAACCAAAAGCACAAACATATCCCATAACCTTATTCGAACTTGTACCAATCCTCAAAACACCTTAAACAACATCAAAACCACCAAAACACATCGAATTCAAGCCTAAGGTTCAAAAATCTTTTGCATTCCGCTTTTGATCAAAAAGTATACCAAACCACGTCCGAATGACCTGAAATTTTGCACACACATCACAAATGACATAACGGAACTACTGCAACTTCCGGAATTTCATTGCGACCTCTATATCAAAATCTCACCTATCAACCGGAAAACGCCGAAATCTCAATTTCGCCAATTCAAGCCTAAACCTTCCACAGGCTCCCAAAATGCATTCCGATCACGCTCCCAAGTCTCAAATCACCTAACAGAGCGAACCAAATCATAAAAATTCTGATCCGAGATCATATACAAACAAATCAAATATTGGTCTAACATTTCAAATTTCAAGCTTCAAACTGGGAACCATTCTTCCAAATTATTCCGATTACCCTGAAAGCCAAAACCAACGATTTACATAAGTCATAATACACCACACGGGGCAAGTCATGCCCGAGAACTAGCGAGCAATGTGCAAAAGCTCAAAACGACCGGTCGGATCGTTACATCCTCCCCCACTTAAACATACGTTCGTCCTCGAACGTGCCCAGAGTTGTTCCAAAAGCCAACCAATCGCCGAATAACCTTACCACGCATATACCCCGGGGTGATCCCACGTCACCCAATCTCATATAGGTCCGATAACACATAGTATCTGAAATTTCACAATCCAATCTAGCCCATAAACCATAGAACCACATTTCCACTTCTGAAATCATCAATACGATCAGAATCTCACATTTATATTGTGAATAAGTCCGAACAAGCTGTAAT